GGGGGGTGGATCCTTCGTTAAAGAAAAATTACGCGCCTCTCCGCGCTCGCGAAAAAAAAGCAAAAAACCGAGTGCAGTGCATGCGGACGACCAGACGTTTCGACTTTGAACTCGACCAGTCATCCTACGTCCCTCAAACGTTGCCACATTTAAGATGGATACGGAAGGATACAAAACTGAAGAAACGCAACAAAAGGGTGATAAGGATTGGAGCCAGGTCGCCGCTCAATTTTTTATTATCATTTTTTGTGTTTTGCACCTGCAAAAAATGACTTTCAGACGGCTCAAAACGTCTTGCCTTTTCGAAATTTTCAATATTTTGGCTTTGTTTTCCGCAAGTTTATGTTCTGAAGTAGTTGTGTTCGTATTTTCGGGTTATGTAATTCATTCAGTTTCGTTACACATGAATTAAACGTCATTTTGCAAATAGGAACTACAATTTCTAGCTTATCCGTAAAAACACGTAAGGGCATAAGGAAACCAATGATGCAACCGTTGTTTCTAATCTGAGCTAGAGATTGTAGTTCCTAATGTAGAATATGCGGGTATCAGAAATTTGATGAATTTCATCTTTAGGTGGAAACTACTGACTGAATTGAGAAAGAGGATAACGTAGGTTTTTTAATTGAGCAATTATTGGAATAGATTAGGTCAAACGATCAAATTTCTTAAAATACACGTGACTTAAAATGCTGTCAGATGACGTCACAGGGCGGTACATATTCTCACTTAAAAATCTATTTTTCTACAATTTTCCACATTGGAATGTAAAAAATACTGCAAACTTCGGCTCAATAAGCACTCATAGATAAAGCGATAAAAATGTGCGCACATTCTCCATTGCAAAATGAGGTTCAATTCACGGGGAGTCCCAGGGTTAAACAGCCACCAGACTGCATAGGTGCATGTTCTCAGCGCCAAAGTGAGACGTATTCTGTAAAAAATATTACGAAAGAACGCCGTATGAACATTCGAGCGTTGCCAAATTTCCTTCGATAAAATCTTTATGTTTTAGGAAAATTAAGAATATTTTTTCTTGAAATTTTCAGAAGTTTAAGATCAAATTACAAACCAAATTATCTGAATATTGGTGGACAAATATTCAAAAATCTTCCTGAAAGAAGCGATTTGCCAGCAGAAATTTGGCAACGCCCGAAGGCTCATACGGCGTTCTCCCTTGGTGCGGCAGTATTCTTTCGTAATATTTTTTCCAAACATGCCCAAATTGGAGCCACAGCCGCCGCACCGCATTCTTAGGTAAATTATTTCTCGATGAGGAACTACTTCCGACGTAGATTCGTCATCAGACTGGTGTCTCCCCTCGATTCACCATGCTGCATTTCAGTGGAACCGAACCGGTTCGCCCGGCAACAGAGCGCGACCGGTGGCGCGACTAACCTAATGATCGATTATCGAAATTTTCCCATTTGAATCTCTGGTAAAGAATCGATAATTTAAGTGCCCGTTGCGAACACCTTGTCTATCGATCCTTTTCCGTGGCTTCAACGGCAGATCAATCGATACATCGCAAAGCACGCCACGCCACTGAGCGCGACACCTCCCGCCGAATCCGGTTTCCGATTAGTACGTGCGATGCAGTAATTAGTCACCGTCCAACGAACAACGCGACTCGCCGTGCACTTAAATCGGTCCATTAAAACCGAACAGGTCCATCATTTGATGAGCCCTGGAATAAAGGCATTTACACGGAGCTCACGGGTCAACAGAGGGTGGATTTGCGTGGTTTTAACATGAACTGTTTCACTTGCACTCCTGCCATCTGTTACATCGTCCTCTTCCTCGAAGATTCGGACTGTGACGTCAGCAGTCATCAGTCATCGTCCGGTGGGAAGCTCATCCGACTAAATGTCACGGAATCGGATTAGTGCGGTAGGTTTTAGTGACGAGTCATTTGAACTACAATTCTTGGTAACAAATCATCTTGTGGGCAATGGATTTTAGTTTCGCCTCTTAGCGCAGCGATTTCTATAGACGGCGAAAAATCTATGGCTTTATAAACCAATTGATGGTTCATATGGAACACTACTAATAGAAGTAAAGTCTGTGAACCATACCAGGGTATCTCGTACCATACTAAGGTATATATACTATTTTTTATGTTGTATTTACTACTATTGGTGGTGTTTCACAATATGAACCACTAATTGGTTTATAAGCCATAACTTTTTCTCAGTAAACTTGTTTTCCGGGTGAATACTAGAGCCACTTACATATTCACTAAAACCAAATATCGATTACTATGGTGCGAAACTGCGTACCTTCATTGAGGTGTTTCAAGATTTCTGCTATTTGTTTTTTTCCGAAATGTAAAAGCCAACCATAGGCGGATTTAGGGGAGGGCGCCCCTCCATTCACCCGAAAAAAGGAGGGAGAAAAAGAGGAGAAGAAAGATGGAAAGAACGGAGGAAAGCAGGAAGGACGCATATAGCTTATTTTTCATGGCGAAATTGACTCAAACAATTTCCCAGGTTTTTCACACCCTGAAACTGAAATTTTAAACAAGCTCAGCTCTGAACCCCATTCACTCTTAGGGTGTCTAACTGATACCCTATCATGTCATTCAAATTTCTTGCTTTTTCCTTACTTTCCTGACAATTCCTTTTTTGGCGATTCTCAAAATTCCTTACTTTTCCCTTGCCTTTTCTTTACTTCCTCCTTACCTCACACACATGTGTGAGGTAACCAGTTGGTACACACATGTGTACCAACTGTATTCGAATTGGGAAAGTGGAATGATGGAATGACGAAAACATGAACCCCAAAAAAACGAGGAATCGAACAGTGATGTTGATAAAAGGATTATGTTAGAAAATTGCATACCCCCGATAGTGCATTCAAGAGTTTCTCGCAATAAACTCGAATCTGTGCCTTTTCATCGAAAATCCGTAACTTCACCGTATTTCCGTACCGACCTTCCGAAATCCATGCTTTTTCGGTGTTTGCGTACTTTTTCCGTACAGTAGACTCCCTGCACTCAATTTTTTTTCCGGATTGTTGGTTTCGGTGTACAACTTCTAATCCTGATTAGATTTAATTATACCCACGTCTCGTTAGCCTAATCGTCAGATTGGTCTCACGAGTCGGTCATTTCGACAAAAAGGTCGTCATAAATTGACGACATTAGCCGGACATCTAGAATTTCGTCGATGGATCAAAACGGTGTAATTATTTTCAAGAGCGGTGCGCGTGGCGCTGCCGCGATTTCAACGCGGCTGATAATCGATAAGTATCAATGACTTCGGATTATCGATCCGGATCGACAGGGAGCGATAAACGGTCGGTCTTTGTCGAGCGCTTGAAAGCTCGCCTGATTTATAGGGCGCAGTCGTCAAATCTCACCCAAAAATAGGGGTTTCCACCGGTTTTTATCATAGATTCGGCAACAGGGCCGGCTATTATATCTTTTGCACAATCGGTTTTCTCTCCGGGTCCCGATATGGTCCAATTACCCGCAGACTAATTTACATGTAATTTTAATGCTCCCGCCCGCTTTATTGTTTTTTACGAGGCGCTTTTTTTTCATATTTTCTGGTTTTTTCTTTGTTTTCGAGGGACGCCACACGGTGGATCAAGGCAATCAGAGAGGTCGGACATGAAATTTATACCTAAAACTGCATATTTCGACGTTTAATTTGTCACATTTTAAATTTTAAGTGGTGCTTCTGAAAGAAAATTTTACGAAAAAACTAATGGAACCACTTTTAAGACCTCAACGTTTGTACGAACGGAGTTATAAGCGTTTAAAGTTTCCAAATTTTGTCCGATCTCTCCTACTGACTCGATCCACTGTGCGCCAGGCCGGTTACGAGGGCCGGTTACCGGGCGCTGTTTTTCAGGGTCGAAGGGTCACTCTTGCCTCGGGAAATTTCGGACGTAAGGGCGTATCTCGATTTCTACATGAGACCGTCCTGCCGTACATACATTTTAATGCCAAATTTGGCTGTCTCAGCTGTATAGAACATGGTAATTGATTAAAAAAATCAAGCATACAAGCTGCGGTTTGATTTGTTTCTTGTAAGTTTTATATTATTTCTCATCTACATGTAGTTTGAAATATTACTTGTTTATTTTATTTTTGGCTTGTAGCTTGATTTTTTAACCGATTAGCATGTTCTGCCGTACTAGGGAAGATCGTCGTATGAACATTCAAGAGCTGCCGAATTTCCTCCAATAAAATGTTTATTTTTCAGGGAACTCACGAATATTTTACCTTAAAATTTTCAGGAGCTTCAGGTGAAAATACGAACGAAATCGGCTGAAAAATTAGAAGAAATATTTCCATCAGTTTGCCAGGAGATTAGTGTTTCATCAGGGGAAATTTGAAAACGCCTGGAAGTTCATACAGCGTTTTTTCTTTTCACGGTAGTGTTATCCATATAACTCTACGCTTTCCGGGGAAATGGAGATACGCCTTTACGTCAGAGAAGCGACGATTTTTGAGGTGTCGGTGCATCGTTGCCAGATAGTGCTAAAAACACGTTTCCCCATTTAAACCCATGTGAAACATTCCCATACAATTACACAATCTGCACGGAGAAAAAAACCTCGTGCGTGGGACCCGAAGTTTAGGTCATATTATGGATCTCTGAAGTTTTCAGATTGAGCATCTGAACACTTTAGGTCTAGCTGTCGAGGTTCGGATCACACATCTGAAACTTCAGTTCGTACATCTGATGTGAGAACCGAAGTTTTTCGGATGTGAAAACCGAAGTACTTCAGATGTAAGAACTGAAGTTTCAGATGTGTGATCCAAACCTCAGCAGCTGGACGTG